TATATATATATATATATATACATGTAAAAAAGCTTGTACTCGCATGAAACAGAAATAAACAATCCGCCTATTTAAAATTACTAAACTTTGTATATTTTTTTTTTTTTAATTTTCAAAAACCCAACCTCTAGAAGTTAATTAATCAATTTATGGTAAATTTATAAAAATTAATACATTAGGTTTCGTATAAAGTGAGAAATTTTATTTGAGGTATTTGAAAAAAAAAATAAGTTGTACGATTTTTTTTTTTTTTGTGTATGAAAGTCGAATTATATTTTGGTTTTTTATAAAATCAAGGTGTTCCCAAATTTTAGCATATTTCTATAATAATTTGTCATAAGATATCTCTATATATAATTACCGAATGCGCTGAGCCTACTTGGCTGCTTCTAGTGTTTCGGAATCCTATTTGGCGAAGAATCATGCTTCGTAATTAGGTTTGGAAAAAAATATTAATAATATATTAATAATTAATAATCTAGGTTCGGACATTCCATAAATATTATTTAGCTAACTTAGGTATTTTAATAGCACTTGTACTAATATAACCTTTTAATTCTTTGTAATTTTACACAGTGAGACACTAAGTGACTAATATATCAATGACTTTTGATTTGTTTCTTTCAATTAGTTATTGAATTATAAATATATTTTAAAAGTTGATAATTTTTGTTTTTCTTATCGGTTTTTATATATATAATATATCAAGTTCATGATTTTCGATTTGACATCCATATTGTATATATAAAATAAATAAATTATATTAATCATTATAATAATAAAAAATAATAATATTTATTAAAATTTATTCAAAAAATAAAATTATTTCTCAGTTGATATATTTATGTTTAATGTAGTTATATGTTGTAAGTTAAAAAAATTATTATAATATAACACAAGTAAGTCACACAAATAAAAAGTGTCATACTAAATATATAATAATATATTTTTAAATAAAAAATATTTAAATTTTCAACTACCTTTTATCATTAATTTTAAATTTTAAGGAAAAAATTTAGCAAGTGTTTGTCTCATTTTTGTTGCATTTTTTGTTATTATTTTCTCATTCTTTTTTCCCCATTTTGAGTCATTTAGTTGGTTTTAGGTTCATTTTGTCGTTTATTGTGTGTTTTGTATTGTCTTGAGTGCCCCGGTAATTTTTATGTTTTTCCGGTAGTCTTCCGTTTGTGTTTTTGTTTTTGGTGTGTAGGTCGGGAGCTTCGGGAGAACAGGTTTCTGGGAATTTTTTGGGGAAGTTCACATCATCACTACAAAAAAACATCTTACATTCCAACGGAAAATTTCTGTTGGAATTCTTTATATATCCGTTGGAATAGGTATTCCAACGGATATTCCTACGTATAACAATTCGTAGGAAAAACGGCCGTTGGAATAGCTAAAATCCAACGGAAAATCCTATGGAAATAAATTCTTACAACTATTCCAACGGAAAAAATCCGTTGGAATTCCTCAACCATCCAACACTTTTTCCAACATAAAATTAAGTTTGTTGGAATATTCATTGGAATTTCCAACGGAAATTTTTGCCATTGGAATTTTTCGTTGGAATTGAAGTGTTTTCTTGTAGTGCATTAGATAGAGGGGTTCGTTAGCTACGCGTAGGAAAAAAACGGAATCGAATTCCGAGTCCGAACGAGTGTAAACGAGCCCGAGACGCGAAGAAGGGCGAGCTGCCAGGCACTGCGCGCGTCGCGTGATGCGGAAGTGGGTTTCGAGCCCCTGACGACGAGAAGGTCCAAGAGCCGAGAAGGCTCGAGAAGGCCGAGAAAAGGGCCAAAACCACGCATGCATGGCCTAAGAGACGGGTACGAGCCAGTATGCGGGGTACAATGAGGGCAAGGAAGAAGGCCAACGAAGGTCGCGCAAGGCGATGCGGGAGGGCACGCGAAAAGGCATTCCCAACACGGGCAACATTCAAGCGCAAGAAGGGTCGCATTCAACATAAGCGCGAACACGCGAATTGGCGTAGACGTGCTCGGACGAGACCACGCCTCAAACGGATGCGCCATCAGAGGTATC